CACCTGCACTGGTAGATGGCCTTCCCGAGTCTTTCATTTCCCTGAACCCATAGATGGAGGCTGGGGGATCAAAGTCCCACCCACTGTAAGTGAAGAGCACATTCGAGACCAGCTGATGAATCCAAACAGGTACAGGTCTGTGGGACCTGATGATGTGAATCCCAAGGTCCTGAGGGAACTGGCTTATGGAGTTGCCAAGCCTCTCGCCATCGTAGCTGAAAAGTCCTGGCAGTCGGGCAATGTTCATGGTGAGTGGAGAAATGGAGGCATCATGCCCCTACTCTACAACAATTAAAACAAAGAGTTGGACAAAGAGCGCTACTCTGCAATAGTTAAAACAATTAGGACACATTCCTTCTTAGAAAGAGCGGTCAGGCATTGGGACAGGTTGCCCAGGGAAGTGATGGAGTCACCGTCCCTGGGGGTGTTCAAGGAAAGGCTGGACATGGTGCTTAGAGACATGGTTTGGTGGTAACATTGGTGGTAGGGGAATGGTTGGACCAGATGATCTTGAAGGTCTCTTCCAACCTTAATTTTTCTATGATTCTGTGATCCTCTCTTCTGTTTAGCTGAAAGAGGAGATGCACAAACATCCCCCCACCACTGTACTCCCAAACTGACACCATGAATATGTAAAGCAGAGACTAGGCTACTGCCTTCATAATGCCAAATGAAGTCACTGCATGTCTCAAAGCGTGTGCTTTTGTCGACGAGAAGCTGGATTGGAAGCTGAATGATGAAACAAATGTAGCAATCAAGCTTCCCTGCAGAAACCTCTTCTGCTCAGGTCTGAATTTGCCTTGAAAGGGTGAAGGTCAGCCAGATGCTTTTTCTCCATGATGCCTCAGTGGGTATTTCTGGTTTGGAGCATGTCATTACAGTAACAGCTTATGTTGTGAGATCTCAGCTTGACAATCTGCACTGTACCTTATTGAGCTAACAATACATTTCGCTAGCAAGTGCCTTTCCCCTCCTGAGTATGTAGAAGGCATGTTGCTAAGGCTTCCTCAGTGTTTATAGGATCCATCTACATTGCTACAAGATATTTTTGCCTGTTTTTAATAGTTTGGCACTGCCTTTCCCTCTGCTCTTGTACTTTCCACTTTAACTACCGAGAAGAAGATAAAAAGCTACCGCAGCATCCCTCTGGATAACGGTGCCACGTGCCCCAGTGAAGCAGAGCAGGAGAGAAGGGCGGGTGGTGTCTGCCCAGTGCATTTCTCCACCAGTGAGTGTCAGGATGAGATGTTGCCACCAGCATGCAGGAACAGGAAGCTAGCACTTGTCTGCCTTCCAGCACAGCCATGTCTTTCTTCCAATGTTCTCATCAGTTGAAGTAGAAAGAGTGCAGCCCAAAGAGGGAGGTGATTTCCGAGTGCTTTATTGAGACACACTTGCACAGTTAGGAGAAATGTGCAGTTAGTTTAGATGGATATTTGACCAGTGTGTGTCTTCCTACAGGGGGCTGGGAAGTGGTCTCTGAAGTTTGCTTCTCTCATAATTTCAAGAAGTCTTTTTCCTTGGTGAAGTCTCTTGGAAGGTCTTTGTCTGTTCATGTAATAAGATGCAGTGCTAATGACTCGAATGATAACAATTCGAACAGTAGTGAAATGCAAGAAGCCAAAACTACCTTAACATATATGGTTCATTTAACTAAAAGAGGCAGACTGAGCAGCAGGTGGAAGGGTTAAACAAAAGGAAAAAAGATTATAAAAGTTTGCGGCTTTGGCTTCACTACAAATGGCTCTCTTGCAGACTTTATAGCATTAGTGTTGCTTCTCATAAACCTTGAAACCATTCATCCATTTAGAAAGATTAAATTGGTTAGTCATCCAGAACATAAAATATACACATCTCCATTTTGTCTGTTACCTCCAAACCATCAAAAGTATGATAAATTCAGCTGATGCCGTTAAACCAAAGCGTTGAGTATTGATGATGGCCTCAGTTACATTTACAGTTCACCAGTTCTTGTGTTTCTGATAGTATATTCATCTGTTGTTGCTCGGGGACAGTACGCACAGAATCTTTGAGTTGGAAAACACAACTATAACTTATGATGTGAGAATGTCAGAGAAAACATCTTGATATTGAAGCAGGAAAAAATCCTAGAAATGTTATATATTTTCTCATTCTTGGAAAGTGAAAGTTATCAGAGGCACAAACTTCATTTTTTATTTCTTAATATGCCTATAATGGTATATTAAACAGTTTGCAAAGACAGGTTTATTTGGTTTTCCAGTTACAGATGAAACTGTAGCTATTCAAAGTTCTGTTGTAACTTCTGTTGCATTCCTGTTCCTTAAAAAAGCTAGAAAAAAAAAGGTCAGATTTTTCTAAAGCACGAATTTTTAGAGGCAAGTGGTCAGGAAGTAGGTTCATGATTAAACAGATAGTAAAAACTTAGATTTGATTTATCAGCATTTCTTCTTGATCCGTATTAGGATTCAGAAGTAGCACTTTGTCCCAGATAAAAGAAAATTTGTTCTATAATGATTGTTTCAGCCTACAAAAAAAAAATGTAACTTCTGCTTCTTCAAAATATGTAAGACATTACCTCAAATACAAGGATTTCCCATGTGCTGGAGGGTAACACAAGTTTTTCAACTACTACACATTGTACCTTTTACCAGACCATCCAATTTTGCACCATTAAAACTGGGAAGCGAATCCTGTCTGAGCTCCCCGTTCCTTACTGGAACTGCCAGCTCCTTCCCGGAGGAACCAGGAGCTGATATCGTTATCAGCATATTCAGAGTAACGCAGGTTGCCAGCTGTTGTCAAGCATATGCTTGAGGACCATCAGCATCTGAGGTCCATGAACAAGGGTCACGAAATATGCACTCATGAATGTCACCGACTCTGAGGCTCGTTCCCAATGAGCACAACAGCACTCCTCCCCTGTTGTTCCCCATGTTTTCAGCCTCACTGCTCAAGGAGATGAGTACTTCCCATGGGTGCAGCGGATCCTACATCACAGGCTGTGTTGTGCTTTGATTTGCACTTTTTTCGGAAACATTTCTGGTGGCAGAACTGTAACACCTACTCTTCTTCCCTGCTCCCCGCCCAAGCATTTGTCTTTAACTGCAAATACAAATTATAAAACCACCAGGAGCAATAGAGGTGATCTGAAAGAGGCAGAACCTCATAAATTGTGTGGGAAAGGCTGTCTTTCCTTTTCTCTAACTGATGGCATGCCAAGTTTATTTTACAGTATTTACAATAAGATTTGCTTGTTTTGATACCCTCTGTACATTGTTAGGGAAAAAGCAAAAGAAAAGCTCCAGGAGGTTTATATTTTCTGATGAGACAGTTTAATCCTTAATTTTCTTTCTAGTCCTATATGTTGTACCAGAAATGTAATATATAAACGGATATGAGACTGAAACTGGATGAGTTAGTACTGAGTAGTCCTTTAATTTATCTGTATGAATTTTGTGCTTAAGAAGGACCCCCAGACCAGCAGGCTAAGAGCTGTTGGTTCATTCAGAGAGCAGATACAGGACGAGCAGGAACAATGCTGGTTTCTCCTTTCTGCATCTCATCCCTGACCTTGGCACATTGCTCTGGGCGCCAAAAGAGCATGCTGTCTGTGCCTGTTTAGTTGAGGTCCAGGCAGATGACACAGAAAACAAATTTATCCATGGAGGAGTGGTCCCCAGTGTGGCTGTACAGGCAGCCTGCAGCTTGTCTGCACGAGGGCTGACGTACCTGTCAGATCCAGCACACAGCTCTGGGGCAGCTCGCCCTGCTATGAAGAAAAGCCTCCTGTCCCTCTGCAGACAGCCCTGAAGGCCAAACACCCTCGTGTTACAAAAAGACACCACGATGGCTGCAGTCCTCAACATGTGAACGTTGTTGTTCTGTACCATGCCAAACAACACACAATTATCTCATCTCTCCCAAACCTTTGCTGTGCAATACCTGGGTAGACACAATGTCTTTTCTCTGTGTTGTGGAAACATTGATTAGAAAGTGCCATGTTTGATTTTTTGGGAAGGAAGAACAATTGTCAAATGTTAGAAGCTGTTCCTGTAGAGGTGGGAAGGGATTTTCTCACAGGCAGACCATGTTTGGATCCCCCTTTCATCCCTGCTAATGAAGCAACCATCCCCTCCTCAATTGGCAATTCCCTCAGCGGGATGATGTATCCCAGATGTGTACCACAGGTGTATAGAGATGTAGCCTTCTCTTTGCAAATGTTGATGTGATTTACACAACTTTGGACAAGAAATAGTATTTTGGAGTTGATACATCTCTCTGAGTGATGTTAATGTGGGGACATGCTAGCAAAATCAGTCACTGTTTAGTTTATACCTGTCTCAGCTACTGTGTCTGAGTGAACGTATTCATCATATTTAGCTTTTATACAATATTCTTTTAAGTCTTCCCTGCACTTTGCAATTGTTAATTAATCCCACAGCACGCAGGGATTACTAGTAACGCTTTCCAAGGGAAAGCAGAAACAAGCAAGAAGAGGTCAAATGACAGGGCCAAGGTTGTGCATGCAATTTTGTCTAAAGAACATTAGGTTCTGCAAGATTAAAGCAGTGTTAACTGGCCTTTCCTTGGATGTCAGCCTCCATCTTCCTGGGAGGTGGCTTGGGGGGGCAGTTCTGACAGTCTCGTGTTCAGAGCTCCCCTTTCATTTGCTTCCTTTCTCACACTATTTCCTGAGGGAAACAGAGGACAGAGTTTTGTCTTCAGAGAACAATGGGGAATTTCCAAGGAGGCAGAATGTCTCATTATCTGAAACTTTTATGTACCATCTTTTCATCTTGCAGTTACAAGTGAAAGCATCTGACTAATTAACTGGCTGTTTCTTCAAAGTCATTGTAAAGATCCGGATACCCAGTTCATATTAAAAATAAATAACTTGCTCGTCTGGCAGCCATAGCCCAGAGAAGGTCTGCACTGCGCTGATAACAGCAATCTGGTAACTTACCTGACAGTAAGTGCTGCAAGTATAGAGTGTGCTCACGGTGCTTTTTTCTCCACAGGACTTGAAAGACGACCGAAGCGATGAAGAAGAAGAAGATTCCGTTACGGATAATGAAGAGGAGTCCACAAAGAATGGCAGTAAGAACGGCTGTGGCTCAAGCAAACATCTCCTAAACAGCAGTCACCAGTAGCCCCCTCCCGCCCCACCTCCTGCAGCGATTTCCACTCCGTTTTTAACCCAACCTACAGGATAGAACTTAAGTCAAAAGGCTTATGAGAGACTGTGATTGATTTATTGTTGGCTACTGGACCTGGAATAAAGCCCAGCTTACAGGAGAGGCAAAAATTGCATAACATGACAAAATGTGTTAATGGCCCACTTTCTGAATAGTCGCTTCATGTTTGAAAAGGTGTTTGGACACACTGACTGCGCCACTTACAGTGCTTAACAAGGTGAACGTGTCAGGTCGTTTAGTGTCCCGTTGATTCTAACATGGCTTTTCGATCAGATATAAGACATATTTCATCGAGCAGTTTCATTCATAGGTGTTTCATGGTAGGTAGGTAGGTAGTGTGAACTCCATTAGGAAACAAAACTACTCAATATGGCAAAAATTGACAGTGGTGTACAACGACTAGCATTGTAGTCTCTACTCGTTGACTTAAAACCTCATCAAAATGGCTATTTTTTGCAAGTTAGATCTCATGTTCTGGAGGCCAGTGGAAGCTAACATGGAGGAAGCTGAGCTATTTGCTTCTGAAGACCTTGCCTCACAGCGGAAGTATTGTTTACATCCAATGTATGATAGTTCAAATACTATGTTTGGAGATTTACCAGTCAAGAGATTTACCAGTCAAGAAAATCACAAAAATCTGCCCCAATTCTCCCCCTGAGCTCCAGGTTTCAAAAATGTCTTTCATCTCAGTCATTTTGGCTGTAGGCCCGCTGTTAGAGCAGAAGGTGCAGTGCGGAGAGAAAATAGTGAATGAAAATTGGGTCCTCTCATGGGTTCTTTTTTACTTCTTATTTGCCTTTAACACTGCTGAACCCCCTGGATCCTGACACTTCTACAGCCCAGAAGATTAAGAATGAAAGAGCAGAGATGGAAATACAGGTCCTGATATCAAATGAACACACAGCACTTTTTGAAAACAGTGAATGACAGCAGCTAGAGCCAAACGTGGAGCATGGAGCTGAGACCATATAGTGTTGTTAGTGCCATAAGAAGTGGAAGAACCTCCTCTTACCAAACGTGCTTCATGAGCTGGCACTCTTGTTCTAATGCTAGTGCAGCAGTGTTTTTAGTCCTGGGGCTTTCCGAGGAGAGCCTGGATCTTTTAAACAGAGCAGCGCCCATCTCAATTCCAGATGCGTTTATCTCCCAAAGTCCTAAATGATTTGTCCTAAGTTGTACAGGTTGGAAGCTCTCCGTGTGGTTCTGTGGTAGCTGAGACCATCTGGTGAACTAAATCCAGCAGCTTGATAAAGACCAGGGGGACCACTGCTCAAACATCCAAGTGCAGAGCTGTTGGTTCGGAAAGGCTCTTTTCCCCTTAAGGCTGCCCAGGCAGGAACTCGGTGACCTTCAGGAAGCACTATATGGCTGACTTGTTTTCTCAAGATTTCCTTGGCAAAGCGGGATGTAATTCAGCGACTGAAGCATTTGAAAGAATGGGAAGTGTTTGGGACCTCAGATATGAAGAAAAAAGTGTTTTCTGCACTGTTACAAAAAGGTGTAGGAGTACTTTGTAAAGGAGGCTAGCAGTGTTAAAATATCTGTGTCCGGTCTCTCCAGCTGTTGATCTAGGCTGTGTTTAATTTTTTACTTACATTTTGGACCACGTAATACCCCAGATCTTTGTGTTTACCACAAAGACAATTATACCGAGAGGAGTACAGCGTGCACTTCTGAGAAGGCTGGGAACTGTGCAGTGGCAGGAGGGGACTCGTGTGCCAGTGCTTGTAGTCAGTGGTGCTGCTCGTGCTGAGCAGGCAGAATTCCCTCAGTAGTTGTTGCGTGTGTTTCCATGCTGCTGTAGAGGATACCTTAAGTACTGCAGTGTGGATTTATTGGAAGTGTAAGCACTTATTACATCATCTAAAGGAACTGGCAAGTTTGGCAGGGTCACAGCTGCTTATCGGGCCCTGTTTATTGCATACATGAAAAGAACTGCCTTTTCCTGAGAAAATGGAGAACCATCACGGAGGCTTTACGCTCCCTTTAAAAGCAGTGGAGACAACAACGCTTTCTACAAGGCCTAATGGGACTTTGGGACATGGCCAGGGTATTATCATTTGATTTTGATGCCAGTAAGTTTTTCTGCTGTGAATAGGAAAGGAATTCATGAAAGGAAACACGAAGAATGACGCTGTCACAGGAGCAAGCCTCTGAACAACTACTGAGTTTTAAACTGGAATTTACAGTCTCATTGAGGCCAAATCCTGCCCTTCCTACTTGGACAAGTCTCCCGCTGAAGCCAATTATCTCTGCTGGAGTTTTGCCTAGGTAAAATTTTGGATTGCGGATATCCAACGTAATTACAAGACCCGTTGTTTTAAATCATTGTGAAAGTAGGGTCTTAAAGGAAGAGTAAAAGGCAGATAAATACCTTCAAACATAAAATGTTGAGGCATGTATTGGGTTAGTACAGAAGAATATGGAAGAAAATGTCCCGAAGATGAAGATTATAAGTTCAGTAGACAAGTAACTACGTGATGTCACAGTTAGGGGGTACGGAAGGTAGGGAGGTCAAGGGAGGCCATTACAGGGGGTTAATCAAGTGGCCAAGCAAAGCTAAACCTAAAAATTCTTAACATAAACCACCAGGTACTGGGGATAAACACACACAGCACAGAAAGAAGTGGGAACAGATTGTCACAGCTGGACTGGACACGTGTCCTGTGTTAACATCACATTTGTCATTCCCAAAGTTCCGCGTTTCATTTTCCACTACAAACTTACAGAAACTCAGGAACAAGAAGCTGGAGTTGTAGGGAACACAGCTCATGCTAAGGCAGCTAATGCCACAGTGCTCTGAGGTTTTCAGTCTATTCAGTGCCTTTAAGACTTTTAAAAAATCATTTAAAAAAAAATGATCAGTGTCTCAACGTGCAAGTGCAAAATGACTGGAGGTAATGTGCATGTGAGCACAAGGTGATAGCCTAATGCATCATGTTGACTGCTTCACAAAATGGGTCCTGCTTTAATGCTTTGATGCTGTGTACTTGATTTTGCTGTCACTTCGACCATGCCAAAATATTTATGATAGAATTATAGACTGAAAATGAAGTTCTAGCCCATTAGAAACAGCAGAAACTCTTCTGTTCCATGTAATTCCTCTGAATTTTGCTCAGATATTCCTGTCGGTGTTTACTCTGCCACCTCTGTGCCTGTTTACCACACAGGTTTACCAACCTGCTCTGGATTTGATTTGCAGACCTCCTTTACTCCACTAAACTCATTTTGTCAATTTGTCTCATTCTGTATAGTTATCTTTTTTTTTGTTCTTAATGCCACTGAATTTGTCCAGTCAGATATGCTACACACTATAAATAAAGTCTTTTTTTTTTTTAAATAATGTCTGTGTAAAGATTTCCTTGGTTTCAGTGCTGGGCAGTGTTCTCCTCTCTGCTTTCCATTCCCTCCTAGCATTCCAGTGAGGGCCCATTCAGGAATTCTCTTCCAAGTTTTTCCATAGCCTGGGAAAGGCTTTCCAGCCTCTTTTCTGGAAGAGTTTGCTCCTGAGCTGATCCGGCTGACAACTGGACAATGCAGCCCCTTCTCAAAGGGTAACAGCGAGTGCTGTTAAATGGCCTTTCTGTCTTGAGAGGTTGGAGATTAAGAACAAGTTTGCAGGATGCACAGCAAGTCAAGCGTCACCACCACAGAGCAAACAGTGTAAGCGTGTTAACTCTTATAGCACAGAAAGAGACATTTGCCAAATGATGTTTTAATTACAGGTAAATTTGATTGATTTTTTTTTTTTTTCTGGAAAATTCTCGAATGGAGAGAAAGCAAATTTAATGGCTCTGTCATCCATCATTTGGATTATTCAAGATTTATGCTTTCACTGAAGCACTCAGAAGTGATCCTGTGAACATTAGGAGTTACTCTAAATAGCCAACACATTTTTGTATTCACTCTCATTTGTTTTTGTTCTGCATAATAAGACTGATTTTGAAGTTGTGTATTTGCGAAGTACTAGAATAATATCCAAAGAAAGAGATAATCAGAGATGATTCCTTTTTTTCCCCAGGAGTGTTTATGGCCATGCATAGTGTGAGGTGCTACCACCCCGTTAGATTAGGCTGCGGGATTACAACCTAAATGCATGGTCGTGAGCACAATCAGATAGCTCAGACATGAAACTTAAGCCGATGAAGCAGGAAAGCTCTACTGAAAGTGAGGGAGCTGTGATGATTTGTATCAGCTGAAAAGCTGCTCCATACTTCTTACTCTTTCCATTTCTGTCCACTTGGCTGGGAAGAGCACAGAGGTTCTGACTTCTCTTCCCAGGCCTCTGTTTCCAGACAAACGTGAGGGAAGGTGTTTAAAGACAAATAATGAACTGCAGCAAAATGCTTTGGTTTTATGATTACCTGAATTCATTTTTTAAGCTTGTGAGTAAGAATAGAGTAGATAGAAAACAAATCGAACAGGGTTCTGTGAGTTTTGGCTACAAGCAACTTGCAAACTGTGAAGAAAAATAATAAAAAAAAAAATCTTGCTGATTTAGAAAGAAAAACACCATCTCCACAGGCACTTCCCCCAGCTGTGGGTTAGAAGAACAACAGATAATCAGCGGGCAAAAATGAAAGTCCATGCTGAGAATCAGAACACAGCCCAGTTGTAAAAAAGCCGAAGAGAGTTGGTGTGATGGCTTTGGCTGCCCAGGAGCTGGGAGCCTTCGATGTGGAGCAGCAAATGAGCCAAGAATGCAGCTCTGAGCTGACTCCATTGGTCATGCTCAAAATCACTGAAAGTGTCTGTGCTCATTTTCCAGTAAGTTTTATGGGCTCCCTCCTGCTCTATCTGTGCTCTGTGGAGCCAGGCTTTTGTTTCCTGCCCAGAGGGTTCCAGCTTCGGCTGCCTGAGGTGAGGACCCAGCGTTCAGAAAGATAAACACCTCTGACTTGCTGAAGGCCGCACGGGACATCTGTATTCCCACTGAGAACATCATTTCTGCTCATGAAAATTACAAAATCTACCTGATGCCCATGCTGTAGGGGACAGAGAGTAACTAATGTGTGTCAGACAGCAAAGTGGCACACGAGTGACTGACACCATAGCCAGAGCTGACCTTTCCTTCACAAATAAGGAGAAGAAAAGTCAGCAGAGGCTTTGGCCAGCTCATCGCACTGGCTTCTGCTGTGGTAGGTAGGAAAAAGTCATTTAAAGGCTGCTTTCTCCAGCTCTTTGGGGAGGGGGGGGTATTTTCTCTCTCTGTCTCCACATTTCTGCATGATGCTACTTGCGGTTTGCAGAAGTTAACATAAGCAGAACGTAAGCAGCAGACAGAAGGTGAACGCCCTGATGTCAATCCCTTGTCAAAGAATGGGAGTCCCAGTCAAGGAAATGGAGGTGATCAAAGCAATGTAATGTTCACCATGGCTGAGTGCAGAGGCTCTGGGAGTTTATATAACTGAAGTAGCCTCTGTAGGATTATTTGAAGTTTCTAGCTTAACAGAAGACAAGGCTGAAGGCACAGGTCTAAGCTTCAACATATGATTCTGCAAATACAAAGTCATAACAATCCATGTAGGATAATGTTGTTGATGTTCCAATAGTCTGAAGATTTATGAAAATATCTTCTATTTATTCAGCTGGAAAGAGCCCTGTTCTTCTGGAGTTTTGTTACCCCATAAAGCATTCAGAGGAGACCCCATAATCATTTCAAAGTCAGAAACATTAAGTGGAATAACAAGTATAAACCCTATCCACAGTGACTTTGAAGTGCACGAAGCATGCCACTGCAGCCATAGAATATTGCTGTGCTTTCAGCTGGGGCGGGAAGAAACAGCTCCCAGGCAGTTGTTTCAGGTGCTGGAAAGTCCATATTTTTCCTAACAGAAAAGAAACGGGTTTAAAAAAAAGTTAAAATTGTGCAGTGAAATAGATGATTAAATTCCCACCGAAGTTCACTGGAGCTTTTCCCACGATGCTGATGTGAACTGGATCCAGACTTCAAGTGACTGGATGAAGGGATAATGGCAGCGTGGCACTGCCATGCATTATACCTGCATTCTCCAGCCATCAGGGGGCACAATCCCAGCGTTTCCTCCTTCTGTAGCCCAGGGCAAAATCCTTCCCAGGAGGTAAGGTCTCTCCTGTCTGCATGTCACCCCCCTAACACAGCTCTGCCTTTGCCTTTGCCCACACTGGGCACGTATCTCTGGGCTGCACCAGTCATAATCTCAGCAAAGGCCACTGCAGGTAAACCAAGAGAAGGAGGAGGAACAAGGCAGTAGTTCAGTAATGCTGCAGACCAGCCCTTTCCAGGCAGCCCAGACCATCTTTGCCTGGATGCTGTGATGAAGTTTCTATAGCCAGGACAACTCCTTCTCCCTGAGCAGTGGTGGTTTCAGATTGAGCCCAGGCAAGGAGTTACCACACAGCAGCAAAGGCAGCAGGATTTGGGAAACCTGGGCTCTCACACTCCTTTAGAAAGTTCCTGGTATAGAAGTGAGGGTCCACTGAGGGGTTCAGCTGTTAGGGTGCTTTTCCTGGCTGACCAGGACTCCCCTGGGGTCCTAGAAAAACTCCCAGAAGAATTGTGTGTTTGCTTTCTATAACGAAGAGCTGTTATAGGAGAAAGCTGCTATAAGGCCTTTCTAGTGCTAACCTATCTGGGCAAGTCTCTTGGTTATGTCGCAGGCTACGTGTAATGCATGAAAAGTCCCAGTATTTTAGGAGAAGAATCCATGGGAAGCAGGAGTGAAATCTTATCAGGTTGTGCTAAATCTTATCAGGCTGTGCAAATCCTACCTAGTTCCTTTGTTATTTCAAAGGAGGAATTATTCAGCAACCAAAGAATGTTTCACACATTTCCCCATTGCAGGAGGCAGTGAGGTCAGACAGCAGTTGTGTGTTTGGAGCTTTTTTTTTTTTTTCTTTTTTCCCTTCAAACTTTTTGGATCTCACAAGGATGGCACCTGAGCAGAGAAAGGGACACTAAAGGTACAGTCCCTTTGCCTGAAGGACTACCCTATAACCCATACTATGTTCCAGGGCATGCATGGCCTTTATTGGATTTGGAAATCGTCCTCCTCCAGCCCCAACCACTTTTGTGCTGCAATTTCCCCTCCTGCACCCAGCTGTGATTCTGCTCTGGCACGAAATGGCAGTAAGAAGCTGAATGCTTACCCCTTCCCTGCCCTGCTGCTGCTGCTCGACGTGAGGGAAACCATAAAGCAGCAGCGCTGAGTCTCTGTGCTGGGGATTGCAAATACGGCTGCTCTGTCTCTTGTGGGCAATGATTTTTTTATTATTATTATTTTTTAAATTTCTTTTAACATTTAGGGACCGATCCAAAGCAAATGTCAGAGCTCAGCTGTGCCTTGTGAGGTTAGCCCCATATCCTGAGAGACACAGAGTGCCAGCAGCCAGCCCGTGGCTGAGACTCCTTGTTCTGTGTCACGGGAGGGCCACGCTCCTTTCACTGAATGTCAGCGAGGGGAGAAGAAATTCCTGCTCCTAATACAATGCAGAGCACAGGGAAACCTCCAAGTTTCCTTGGTTAACACATCAGAGCAGTTTTTGCTTCCTGTCATGGGAATGGATGCCCCTGTGTGCTGCTGCATGATAGAAGTGGAGGTGGAAGCGCAAAACACATCAAACAGCATGGTTGGGTGCCAGGGCATGGCAAACAGCACAGGGAACAGGAGAAAACTCCTCGTGTATGGGAAGTAAACACACCTCGGGCCTTCCTCCTGGTTCCCAGCTCCCTTTGAAAAGCCCCGAGCAGCACTGCTGGTGTGTGCACGCTGCAGGGGGGTTAAGGAAAGCTCCTGTGTGAGTGCTCATGCCACTAAAAACGCCTGCAGTGGGTTACCTGGTTATTGCTGCAAGGGCCCACGAGGTGGCAATAGCAGGACACTGCTCCCTGCTCCGACACGGCTCCCGTGGAACATTTTTGTCCATCTTTTTGCCCTTAAAACAGATAAAAGATATTGTCAAAGACTGGGGTGTGAAAGCGGTTCTTGCAACTGGCAGTTTCCATTTGGGCAGCCTCACGCTGCAAAACAAGTGGCTGGAGGGGGTTGAAGGACTTCTAATCTTCTCTGGCTTTACTGCTTGTGCTATTTTTATTTTTATACTTTTATTTTTATTGTTTATTTAAACCACAATTTTTTCAAGCCACAGAGTTTGCAGGTGCTAGTGATTGGAGCCCCAGTCTCACCTGGATCTCTAACACCTGCAGTGCAAATAAGGATGATGAAGCTCTCAGGTGCTGGGGGTTATGCTGATGTCCCCCCTTTCGATTCTCTCTGCTCTGAGAGTATAAAGGATCCACCTGA